CTACTAGGAGGAAGAAGCTACTAGTAACTAGTAACAAAGCGCATGGCTACTGCCGACACCCTGTTGTCAAAGTGTGCACAGCCAGCTCACAGCACCGGCACCAGCAGGCACCAGCGCCTCCCACATCCTGTGAAGGGCGAGCACAGCCAGATTGCAGTGACGGTGCTCTGGTGCCGACACCCTTTCTCCAAATGCCCACAGCCAGCTGACACCAGCAGATTTCGAGCAAATCTGAGCAAGCGGACACGGGCGAGTGAAAGCAAACTGTAAACACGATCAGATTCTTAGCATCGTGCCTATGCGGCAGCAAAGAATCCAAAGAGCGTGAAGAAATAGCATGCGCAGGGTGTGCCCATTGTTCCCAAGCTCCCAAGCGCGCACCGGCGCTGGAGCGGCACCAGCACCAGGCTCCCATCAGCACCCTGCAGCACCAGCGCCGAGGCCCCCAAGTGCACACAGCAGCGGTGGCCCTGGAACCCAAGCTCCTAAGCGCACACATGCACCGCTTCCTATACTCCAATAGCTCACGCTACCTGGGGAAAAACACTTATGTTGTACTCATCGACGATCTCATATGTCCCCGACATCGGTATATATCCCGTCACTGTGTCGTGCGCAGGGGCCGCGCGCTTCATCGTCTTGAAGCGGAGTTGTCTGCCCGTGGCGCGGTCCATTGCCCGCTTTGCCCAGGACGGTCCATGGACTCTCCGACATGTTGGGGGTTCGAAACCGTTTAACCCAGGGTGCGCCGCATGGGACATCATGGAAGACCGTGTCTTCGCTGGGTGGGAGGATGCACATTTGCCGGGCTTTGGGGCACAGATGACCTGCCTCCTGAGGCTCATGACCACGAAAGCCTTTGACGCGGGCTTGAGGAACAAGTTTTCCAGGGTAGGGGTAGGGGATTGTATTCTTCTCGGATGGATTTGAACGACAAAGCTAACTTTGGCTTGGCATGCCCTTCACTTTCGCTTGTCGGCCATGGGATGATGGCTTGAAGTTGTAGGAAGATCTAGGAAACCACGAAGGTACTGTTTTCTGCCATGTTCTCAGGATCATTCATAATTATGAGTGGCTGTTGGAACACGGCCCTTCCTGGTGCCTCCTGTCTCCTCACAAAGCGTTCAACAAGGAAGGGTTAAAGAGGCCCGTGCGATGACCCTGACTTCAACTCCGCCTGAAAAACGAACTTGATCAAGATCACGCCGCCGCCGTGTTGTTGGGGGGTGCCAGCACCACCGCAAGGCAGCATGGTATGGGGCCAAAGATGAGAAGTGGTGTCTTGGACGATCTTGAAAGCTTTCAAGGGGCCTGAGAGAAAGCGGTGAAGCTTTGGCTGAGGGTTGTGTCTTTTCCGTCAGGGTCTTAGGTCTTTCCTGCAAAGCATGACTGAAGATGTCGAGGAAGCAGCTCAAAGAACAGCTTCTGTGCCACTTCCGCCCCAGCAATGGCTTTCTGGACTGCTTGGAGGCTGGATGATGCTGGATGTGTTGTCGGATGGGAGACCAAATTTGGATGAGACCTCAGAGACGCAATTGCCAAAGAAGACATGGGAGTCTTGCATCAATGTCTCTGAGACGGAGTGGGATTTCTTGCGGTACACCACCTCCTCTACGAGATGTAGCCCATTTTTGGCCATGGCAGGTGTGCCACTGGCTATTTTGCATGTGAGATCGGTTTTTTCAGCGTGGCTACGCTGGGCACCTGTGACCTTTCCCGCACTTTCAACTGCTTGTTCTAGTGCATTTTTTGCACCGCCCTCTCCAGGCCTCTTCTCATCCACGGTGCATGTTTGCACGGGGCCTGGTGGAATGGGCCCTCAGCGCCCGAGGACTCAGGTCGTTTGTGGCGCCGAGGGTGGAGAGCCGTTCGTGGCTGTAGGGCCGTAGGGGGTTGGGGATTACAACCATTGCCCGCCTTGCCTACAAAGCAATGGCCTCCACCCTAAGAGCGATGACCGGTCCATTGCCAAGCCATGGCCGGTCCGCCTGCAGATTCCGATGTTCCAAGGCCATGTGCCATGTTCCAAGGCGTGGCCACCGCGGCCCCTTTTGTTTCCCAGCTCGCAGTCTTAGGTGAAGGAGCAGTATGGGCCTCCGAAGTCCATTGCATGCAGGTTTGCAAGGCATGCAGGGCACCCACTTGCGTGGTAATACTTGTGAGAGAGAGAGAGACATAGAACATAGAAATAGAAGTAAGAAAAGACAAACAGGAAGGATTTTTCATGATTTCCCTAATCCTGCGTTCAGATCGGTGAAGTGAACAACACACGGTCCAATCTGCAGAAAGTCGCTCAGTTCGGATCCTAACAGGTCCACAGGACGGTCCACATTGTCAGAATGTGAGCAACGGTCGAAAGTAACATCCCACGATGCGAAAGCCTTGAGAAAGCTTCACATCAAAATATGCATAATGGCATATAATGGCAAATCATTACCTATTATATCTATTTACAGTACATGATTGACAGTGAATCGGGTGAACGTTTGCATGAGGTCCATGCTGCGCACGTGGCTTTCGATGGCGGCTTCGAGGATTTTGTGGAGATCAGTCTCGCGGCTGAGTTGTTTTGGGGTTATTTTTGATGGAGATGGGGACACTCATCCAATTGGAGAATGGCGCTCCAAAAGATTCCATGTGCTTTTGAAGGATCTTTGTTGTCACAAAGAAAGTGACATGAACTGGATGAACTGGGAGGATTTGTTTGTAAAATGGTATGGTCCTTAGGTCCGTAAACCCCGGATAAACTGGTTCAATAATGTTCAATACGACAGCTCACCTGAACGCACCAGTTGCTCGTCTACTGGAGTGCAACCTCGGATTGCAGAGGAGCAGCAGTATGCAGCAGTAGCATGATGGCACATTCGTGCAGGTCTTCCCCACATGGCATGGTGATAGGCCCGTTTCTTCATGTTTCTTCTACTCATCAGCCAATCGAGTCAATGCTCGGATCTCACTCTGCGAAATGGGTGATGCAGTGATGCCGCTAATCCGGACACATTCATTCGACATCATTCGACACTGTTGGCTAAGCCTTTTTCACGAAAGCTAGCACCAGCTAAAGGTTGGAGTTGTTCTTGCTTTAGCAAGTGAGGGGCTGTTGTAAGGAGGTAGCGATGCGCTTTGTTACTAGGGAGGGGAGGGGGCAAGTCCGAGGTTACGAAGACTTGCTGCAGCACCCGGACCAGGTGCTGGACGCGTTGGAGGTGCGAATTTCCGGGCGTCGATGGGCTTCAGACATGAGGGATCCTGACGGATCGCCACAGAAGTTCCAGCCAGGTTTGACAACACCTCAAAGGGTCTTTCGTGTCTTTCGAACTTCAGTTCCAGCCTCGTCACAAAGGAATGTCGAACTGAGTTTGTTCTCTTCAGGAGGGTGACCCAAAACTCTGTCAGAGAGGAAACAATACAGAACCTCAAGGCAACAACAGTGACCTTTGTCTTCCCTCTTTTGCGATTTGCAAGGCATCAATCTTCGGTTCTGCTGCAGAGGGTGCTGCGGCTCGTGCCTGGGCACGAGATGTGCTGCGATCAGATGTGCAAGAACCAGTGAAAGAGGCGGAGCAGGAGGCAGGGTTTTCTATCGGATCCTAATGTGATTCTCTGGCAGATCTGACTCCGCATAACGGAAAGCTGGTCAACTGGAGATTGTTGTTGTCGTACATGGACATTTCCGGACTTGCAGGTGTACAAACCTGTTCTTGAAGCCTTTGGTAGCATGGGTTTCAGGAGACCCTTCCACGCTATCTCTCGCTTTCGGTCTGGGTTGGTCAAAGGACCCAACCGATTGCATTCCAGCATGCTTCATCTCCACCGGCTTTGCGCAGATGTCAAACAGTAGTTTGAACTCTAACTTCTACTCAGTTGTTTGTTCGTCTTTTTTCCCCACGGCCCTTTTGCCTCCTCGTGTTCCGCGGAGTGGCCGACTCCAAGTGTTACTTGAGCTGCCGAGGCTCCGAGGGTTTTTCATCCCGACAGGTCTTGGACTTGCTCCATGGCAGCGGCCTAGAAGGCCTCATCGAGGTGCCTTGGACATTTCCCGGTGTGGGGACAGGCCGACCGGCCGGGCTGGGAGTGCTACTTGAGCATCTTTCTTTCACCAAAAAAAATCAGCAAACTCAAGAAGCTACATACTATAAGTAATTAGCAAGGACGCTATTAGGTGGCCATCGCTACTTGGAACAAGAAGCTACTTCTGTTGTTCCCATCACGTTAGGCTATATAGTGATTGAGGTGTCTCCCGAAAAGTTACCTATAGGGATCTATTCATGATTGGCACCTCTTGACCAGTTCTTCAGGGGATCAAAGGTGGACCTCAATATCTATTTGGGATTATTTGGGTGTGTACTTTAATAGGGTGGCCCGTGGCCCCTAACCCAATAGGCTTCGGTCTGTTTCCCTTCTTTTATGGGGTTGAACTGGAATCCTTTTTAATCATATTTCCGTTCTTTCAATATGTGCTGCGGGACCTGGATTTGACACTTCTTGTCACCTTAGGTCCTCTCCGGTCGCTCGCCGGCCGTCACCGGAACTGGAACTCCGTGGCCGAAGCAGGCCGAAGCACCGTGGCGCAGGCAGCCGAACCATGCAAGGACCGCGGCAAAAAAGAGGGCACGGTGCGACCGTTCCGAACACCGGTGGATTTGGATCCGGATTGACGATGGCGTAACATGGGTAAAGGGATCGCGCACAAAAGGATGGAATTCATTTTAACAGGCTCCACGTTCTGTTTTGCATTTGAACGTGGACAAGCAAAAAATTAAGGAAGGAATCGTTGAGCATAAATGAGACTCCACAGGAGCGTCCAAGAGTTGACAGTTGAAACATGTGACGATTGAGCACCAAGTCTTGTTTCACTCTTCAAACTTCTTAATGATGTCCTCCATCCCAAGAACCATGGACCATGGAGGCTTCTCCATCGGGTGAACTCGGGTCGGTCTGTGTCGTCCGTTTTGATTCGAATCACTTTTCCCCCAAAGACTCCTCCCCTTTGGCCCAAGGTGGCTACCCTGAACTCCTCGGACCTGGCGTTGCCCGAAACGATCAGCACCTGCCGCTTTGCGCAGCGCGTGGCCAACGTGACTTGGCGTTGCTAGGGCCCAAAAAGGGTCTCGTGAGGATCACGACTGGTCGGAGGGTGTTCTGACCGGAGTGGGTTGATTAACGCGGGATGATTTGAGAACGGGGATTTGAAGGTGAGCTGGAAGATCCATAGGAATCAAGAGCAGAGTGTTCCTCCCGTTCAAAGCACAGAAACTGAGAAGGTTTTTCCAACCCCCTTGATTGAGAGAACCCCTTTTTGGGTTCTTTTGGGTTCTCATACTCAGATCAATTCGAGAAAACACTACGTATGTTACAGTTTTTGGAATCTTTTAGAGTAAAGCAGTGAGGACTATCATTATGGTCTTGGAAGATCCTGCACAAATATCCTGCATCTTAGTACAACATGTATAGAACACAACTCAACTTGACTGAATTCGTTCAGAACAAGAGTATATACTGAACCTTTTCTTCTCCATCTTCCGGGACCGTTTTTGTCCGGCCTGGTGCACGCCGACCTGGCGAACGGGTGAGTCAGGTGCAGACCTTTGCACGAGTGAATGAGCAGCAAGACCCCCAGCTCGTGATCGCCAGCCTTCGGCAGGCAACGCTGCGAGCTCTAATCGTTAGTCAGTGGATTGAAAGCTCTTATCACTTATCAAATATACAGAGGATTTGGTGAACTTCCAAGTGTTTTGTTTCTTTTTCCCGAATGCGTAGCGAAGGGTTCTCGTGTAACTCTGGGGGTTTGGGGGTAGAATCTTGTTCGATGACGAATGAGTTGGAGGAGGTTTCGTACGAAACGCTTGTTTTGCAGACTTGAAGTGTGAGTTTTTGAGGAAGTCTCGTGTGACTTTTGGAGGAAGTCTCGTACGAAACGCTCGTTTTGGAGACTTGAGCTGTAAGTTTTGGAGGAAGTCTCGTACGAAACGCTCGTTTTGGACACTTGACGCATGGCTTTTGGAGGAAGCAAGACTGCCCCACTAGAGTGTCCCACAAGAGTGTGTTCCCACAAGAGTGCCGTACAAGAGTGTCCCACCAGAGTGTCGTGTGTGAGTGTCCCACAAGAGTGTCTCACAAGAAGAGCTTTCCACAAGACTTTCCCGCACAAGAGTGGCCGACCACAGTGTCCCACCAGACTGTCGTGCGTGACCTCAGAACTGGCCCCTTCGTAGTACAAAGCAGTGCGGGAAGCGGCGGCTTCTAGGAGGGTGGCCTCCGGACTCCGAACTGGCCACTTGGTAGTGCAAATGTAGTGCGGGAAGCAGCTTCAGGGAGCTGTGGCCGCAGCTTTGTAGTACAGATGCAGTACGGGAAGCAGCTTCTGAGAGCTGTCGCCTCAGAGCTGGCCACTTGGTAGGACAATGTAGTGCGGGAAGCAGCAGGCAACTTTGTAATGTTGGATCCTGATTAGTAAAGAGGGGTCCGCCCCTCCCTCTGAACCATTGGGAGGTCTTCCATAGCAAACTACCACCAAAACAAAGCTGGGTTCCTGGGAGGATTCCTTTTGTCATTGATTGTAGTATTTAGTTTCCTTTCTCAGGTTCTTTGTAAGTAGATATTCTCAGCAATCCTGTCATACTACTCAGAAGAGGACAAAGAAGGTTCTCAGGTTCTCTGCGGCTTTGAAGAAGAACTGAAGAAGAACTTTCAGCAAGCCAGCCATTGGCTTAGTCGTATTGAATTACTACTTCTATTTTTCTTCAGGAAAAACTTTGCACAATTGAGGACCCTTGAAGCAAGTTTTATTATTGAGGATCAGGGGCCTTCCGGGTCTACTACCTTGAATATTTGTTTAGGAGCAATCTTTACATAGACTACGGAATTGATGGCTTTCGGACTTATCAATTTCAGCAGGCCAGCCATTGAGTTAGTGGTTTTAAGAACTACTACTCTTTAATCTTCAGGAAAATACTTTGCTCCATTGAGGACCTTTAAAGCAAATTTCTTATTGAAAACCAGGGGCCTTCCTGGTCTACTACCTTGAAAGTTTGTCCAGGAGCAACCTCTACGTAAAGGATTGATTAAGGAGTTGATGGTTTTGGGAAGCTGTCAGTTTTGAAGAAGAACTGGAGAAACCCATACTTATCAATAATCTCAGCAGGCCAGTCATTCACAGGTCTCCGAAGTGTGTGAACCCGTGAAATCCTAATTATTTTTCAGATTGCAAAAAATTAGGAACCCAAATAGCGTAATAGAGGACCCTTAAAACAAACACGGTGTCTAGAAATATTTTTGAACATCTAGCGTTGTAGAGGACCCTTCTACTAACCAGGACCAACAGTAGTAAGGGGAAGAGGCTTCCGGGAGCTGTGGCCGTTGAACTGGCCACTTGCTAGTAAACATGCAATACGGGAAGCACCGGGGAGCTGGCCTCAGAACTGGCAGTGCAAATGTAGTATGCGAAGCAGTTTCTGGGAGCTGTGGCCTAGAACTAGCCACTCGCTAGTCGTGCAAATGTAGTGCAATTGGGGAAGGAAAACGTTGCTCGGCGTGTTGCTGGGAAGCGGGATGATTGGTGGTGTGCACGATGCATGGTGTTAGATGGTTGTATCTAGTCTGTGCGCGCCGTGTGGCGGCATGACGTGTGTAATGTCGCTGTGCCACGCGGTTGTGTGCAGCCTCGGTGGAACGTGCGTTTGCGTGAGATTGGGGGAAGCAAAGCATGCTGGTGTATGCTTGTGTAAATTCGGCGTGTCGCTAGGGCGCAAGAGTGTCCCACAAGACCGTGCCGTGCCGCAAAGGAGTCCCACAAGTCCACGAGACTGCCGCACAACAGTTTTCCCATGAGAGTCCCACAAGAGTGTGTCCCACAAGAGTGCCCCACCAGAGCGTCTCCACAAGAGCATCCCACAAGAGTGTCCCACGAGAGTGTCCCACAAGAGTGTCCCGCAAGAGTGTTCCATGACAAGATTAGCAAGAATGTCCCACAAGAGTGTCCAACAAGAGTGTCGCACGAGAGTGTCCCACAAGAGTGTTCTACAAGTGCGTCCCTCAAGAGCACCGCATACAACGGTGTACTAGTGGAGTGTTTCACAGGAGTGTCAAACAAAGTTTGGCTGTTTGTTTTCGAGTGCGTGTTTGCATTCGGGTTCGTGGGTTCCATCTTGTTTTTCTTTCCAAACTGGTTGCCCCATTGCAAATCCCTATGACATGGGCCCACCGCTTGGGAATGTCCTCTTGCTCCCAGCGAACTTCTTGGACGGAGTCATGTCACGGGCACGTTTGAGTCCATGAAAAAAATACACCCAAAAGCACATGACTCTGTCCAAGAAACATCCAAAAACATCCAAAAACGCCGCTGGATTCCTCCGCTTCAGTGAGCACGTTTGGCTCCCAAAAAACTCGTAGAAACCCTTCCCTGTCGTGTTCATGTCTGTCAAGTACAACCGATCAGTGACCTTCTCTTCGGAGAGGGACGAAGTGATCCTATACTTTCCAGACTTGACGGATGGGGAGATGAGACCCATTCCGCCTGGATCGAAGTGGATGGGGGAAGAGATGAGATCGAGCCGTGAATCGGCGAGCAAGGATGTGACTTGGCTCGATCAGCCGCTCACAGGTTCCAACCTATGGCAGCGCCGAATGAATGGAAGTCAGCCAGCTTCACCAGCCGCTTGGGCTGGTTACTGGATTCCAAAGCCTGTTGAGCCCTCCAGCCACATTTGAGACATGGAGATCATGGAGTGTCTCGGGCAAAGGCCGAGTTGATTGTGGCGTGGTGTCACGGGTGTGTACAAGTGATGAGGGACCGACCCATGTTCTCCCCTCGTCTCTCGCTGCTTCTGAACCAACGATTTTCCTTTGTGTTTTCAGTGGCAGGCAACAGATTTTGATGATTTTTGAGCGGGCCATACCATTCTCATCTATTGAGTTCTACTGCTACCATTTGGTTCTGAACCATGATGATTCTGCAGCCTGTATCTGACAACGTCACTGTGCTTCAAGCTGTACAGAAAACATCCGAAAGCCTGCGAAGGCTTTGATAGCAGCTCTTTGTGGGAAGATTGCCACGAAGGGCCCATGCTGATGGCCCCTCTGGCTCACCGGTGATCGCCCAACGTGCGAACATCGGGGATTTCCAGACGCACCATCGTTATGAAGCAAAGTAGGGAGTGAGCTGGGATTGCGTTTCTGGTTTCGCGGTATGTTCCAAGTGATGTTTGGATCTTAGGCTGTAAGAATGAGGGGTGCCATGGGGGTTGCGCTTGGCATCGCTTTGCATAGCCGTTGCGGATGGTCAAGCACTGCTGTGCGTGTGTTCGGTGGGACTCTTGATCACTCAGTCTGCGAAGAGGAGGCTCCTTTATTGAGGTCTCCCAGTCTCCCTTCTGTGGAGCCTCGGAATTCCATGCTTTTCACAGTCTTCGCGTGGTTTTCTCGATATGTGCCTTTCACATCTTCATGTCTCCTTTTTTACGAAACGTGTTTGGGCCTTTGGGTGCCACCGAATTGCAGGAGAATGCACAGCTGAAAGCCGCCATCGGTGGGCAGGGGGGCGAGGCAAGCCGCCATCGATGACGCATTTTTGTGTCGTCTCCTGACTTGGATGGGTCGTTTCCTTTGCAAGTGTTTTATATAAACTGTGTGTTTCCCAATGTTTCCCAAGATGTCAAACAGGTTTATATAACGAAAACATGTGGCGTTGCCTGGCATGCTTGGATTCAGAGGAGCACAGAAATCAAAAGAATGGATCGCTCCTGGAACATTGAAGACACAGAACATTTTCATTTGGAGAAGAACCCCCAGGAAAAACTACAAGAGACAGAATGCTTTTCCCAATAGAGACCCTTTGATGACCTGTTGCGAGATGCCGTTGCTGACAGGAAGGACTAGACTCACTAGATTAGACACTACAGATGACGCACCCGGCGGGAAGACGAAGTGTGGGAGTCCTGTGGGGTTCTCTTTCCTAAATGGGTCCTCCATCCACTAAACTTTGGTGAGAATTTGGAGAACCTAATAGCGATGGCCTCCACCTGTTACTAGCGATGGCCTCCAACTTAAGAGAGATGGCCTCCAACCTAATAGCGATGGCCTCCAACCTATATATAAATTATGTTATATATAATGGAATTTGGAGACCCAAGGACATTTTCACGGTGCTCTTCCAGCTTGCAACGAGTGCGCGAACAGCGTCAAGCGCGGTGAGGCCCTTTCGGAAGAAGAGCTGCGGAAGCATTGCCAGAGCTTCTTGGAGGACGCTTCTGATCTGTGTGTTGAAGCATAGGGTGGAAGAGGGTCGTTGATGGTGGGTGGACAACGCTGGATGTGAGGATGTGTGAGGTTAAGATCCGATCAATTACGTCGGCGCCCGTTGTTAGATGGAGAATGGATGATGGGCTGGGTGGAATGGACAAAAGCCCGGAGCGCATGTTTTGCTTCTTTGACCATGTTTCTTCAGGCTGGCTTAAGCACTGTGAGTTTATCGCAGCAGAACACCCAATATTATAGATAATGAGAACTCCCGCGACTAAATAGATGGATTACAACTCCATCCAGGTCCGTTCTGGACAATCTTGAGGACCACAAGGCTACGCAAGGCGAGTGACTTCTTGGCATCCTAACCCTCTCCCAGAGCTGAACGAGAGACAGACTTGTGCAGGACGAGTCGTCGACCTCCTCCCCATCCATTTTCTCAGTTGCTTCTCTGATGGAGGCCCACATTGGAATGCAATTTCACTGGCCGCCAACCCCGCTTGAAGGTTGCAATTTTGAGCACTCTTGCTATGTGACATGTGAACAACTTATCACACCGCCCGTAAGAAAATGGCACAGTGTCCTGTTGGGAGCTGGTTGAGATGGTTGACTTGGTTTTTGGTTCCAAGGTGTGCCGGCTACACTCATTGAAGCAGGTGTGTGTTGGCCACGGCAAGACCTCAACAATGGGTTTTATGTGGTTTTATGATGTTTTATGTTTGTCTATTCGATATATACTATTTGTTCTACCAAAGGGATCCAAAGGGAGCAAAAAGGGGCACCCACTTTTGAAGCAGCAAAGCTTGTTGAAAAAGTCATCCTTTCACAAGCAAACGAACCCCGTTGATGAAGCTGACCTGCCGACCAAAACGGGGTGTTTCGCACCTGGGGTTTCCTTTTCCGCCGACCCTGGCGAGATGCGGCCTTCCTCGGCGCTCCGAGGCCTTCGCGGCGTTCCGGATGCTTCGCGAGTTGTGTTGGGAGATGCTGCGCAGGCGCTTGGTTTCTAGAGCTACTTGGCAACGGCTGTGAGTGGCTGGGTAGGCGGGTGGGTGTGGCTTGAGCCAGCAGTGCACCAGGCAATCGGTTCGAGCCATGAGCAGCCAAGTCTGCATTGCCGGCTTATCTTCAGTGGACACTGAGGCGGAAACTCCACCTTTGCAGGTGCGACACATTGTGGGTCGATGACATAGATCTAGGGCTAGGGAACAGAGAGTGAGAGATTCTTTGATATAATTTTGCCTCAATCTCAAGAGATGCACCTTCCCTCTCACTCCAGCAAACATGGCAAGTGGACACCCCTTTGGATTCTTTGGGGAAGGAACATCATCCTCCAAGTGGCCAGGGAGGAACTTCCATGTTTGTTGCATATTGGTTTATATAAGTCATTATAAGTCATATAGCACTGCATTTTCTCCAGTTTTGCTGTGGCACGATCCTGATGTTTGGGTTCCACTACTAGGCCAAGCCACCAAATCAGCCAGCTTCCTCATACCGAACTACCGGCTTCCGATGTTAGCTTCAACTTGTGTCCTCATGCTGTTGTGCAGAGTTTTTTCTCCAGGCAGCCGGAAAAGGCGAAGCGGAGACAGGACAATCCACTAGGGTCTTGCTGAGTGATTCCGGCAGATCTGGACCCTGTCTTGTGTGTTGAAGAACAACAGGCGTTGAACTCAAAAATTCTGCTGAGCTTACTGCAAAGCACTGAGGGTGACGTGGGTATCCAACTGACCATGGGTGCACCCTCTCAAAGAGGGTGCAACTTAACTAAGAGTTCCATGAGAGGGTCGCATGCGCTTCTTCATTGGAGGCGCTTGAATCCAAGTCGCTCCCTTTGCGAAACTCCACCCATATACATAACAACTTAAAACAACTTGCAACTTGTTTAGTACACATCGTGCCTTAGTGCAGCAAAGGAAGTGAACAAGTGAGACTCAACAATATTTCCCAACTGAAGTCTTCGACCTGTTTCTCGCAGCAACCCTGATCAACCCATTTGCAACGCAGAACAAGGAGCGCCAGACGAGAATGGATTCTCCGAGCTCAAAGAGGTGCCGGTGGGCACGATGGCGGTGGTAACGTGACACCGTGGTGGCTAGGGTTTTTATCAGTTAAACACTGTCAAGTTTTTGTGTAGATGGTTTTTAGTATTTAGATGGCTTTAGCACTCTCTAAGCATGTTTCAACATGCTTAAGATTGTTTAACGATTTTCTGGAAAGTCAAGCAATGCACATGACCGCGTGACGCAGGTTTCCACCCAAGACCCTCCAGATTGCGCCGCGTCAGGCGCTGGCGGATCGCGAGGCAGAATGCCGCACCTTGCGCGCGGCGCACCTGGGACTGCAGCTGAGATCTGGTGTGTCTTTCCAAGGTGCGAAATACAAAATCCAATTTGAATTCAATGCTTTGACATGTGGACGCGCGAGAACACATGCAGGTTTTCGTGAGGACAAGTAAACATGTAGACTCTGGATTTTAGTGAACCCCCCCATATACGCAGAGGCTGTTCAATTCAAATGGGGGGTTATTAATCAAGAGTCTACATTACATGCAGAGCTTGATTCCAACGAGTGTTGCGAATGCACTTGAAATGGGCGCTGTGACATTCCATCGGCAGTGCTGCGGCAAGTGTTACAGTGTTCCTTTTAAAGGACATGTTGCGATGATGTCGTGTGTTCTGAACTTGGCGTTCAACTTGAATGATGTTTCATCGGTCAGGTCTGCGCGGGATCGGTTGGATGTGTCGAAGTTTCAACAAGTACTTCGAACTCGAATGAGCTGAATTTAACCGCCGCTGGCGTGTTCCGCCGGCTTTCCAGGTGGCAAGGCCATAAGGTAACCAAAAAGCAGACACGCAGACGAAAGACACATGTTTGTAGCAATTTGAGCACGGGTTTGGAAAGAAGGGGTAGAAAATGCCTGCAGTGGAACACAGGGTAGTTGTTTATCTATAGAAGAGTTTGGCATCTTAGCGGACAGGTTGGAGGCATGGCAGGAGGAGGGTGCTCCGTGCTGCAGCCTTGATCTATCTTTGGGGCGTACGCTTCGAGGATGCAGGTGAATGCGGGGTGCCGTAGAGGATGATGTGTGTGCTGTCTTGGCATAGTAGAGAGGAGAGGGGGGGGGGGTGAGCAAAAATCCGCGCGTAGGGAAAAGACTTACAACACAACAGCAACAGCAACAGGAACATCCACAGAACACGCCGGCTAAAGCCGGCGGATTCTAGTAGGTTGCAGGCCACCACTATCAGTTTGGAGGCCATCGCTATTAGGTTGGAGGCCATTGCTAGAAGGGTGGAGGCCATTGCTAGAAGGGTGGAGGCCTTGTTTTGAGGGATCCAACCTGATTGAAAGCAACACCACCGGACGACCGAACGAGCTCCGTCTCGCTCCATGACGCCGGGAGCTTCTTGTGGGGGGAATGGTGTGGGTCGAAAGCCACCGAGTGGCCAGAGATCACTTGAGATTGCCAAGGACTCGCTTCGCAGGTAAAGAACTAGCCATAGGAATCATAGTAGGAATCATATAATCATATAGCTGAAACTCTTGATCGGTGAAGAACTCTCACAGTCAACCATTTCAGACAGAGCCAGTTCGTTGTAATGGTTTTGAGATGTTTTGAGAATCCAACTGTGTGCATATTTCAATCAAGGCCATTCAAGGCCAGCCCTCCACACATCTTTCAGGTGCGTGGTTTGACCTTGCAGATCCCTTGCAGGACACAGAATGTCATTATATACTATACTATATACACAGATGCCGTGCCCTGAAGGTTTTGGATTTTCCCGTTCTTGTAGACAACGCCCCGCAAAGGAAAATCACCTACGATTTCCAGATGAACTCAGGTGAACCAAGGTTTTGCTTCAGCAATTATGTAGTTTTCCCGGCATCGCATCTCGTCCTTTCATTTTGCACATGTGTGGGTGAAATTCTTGATCAATCCAGTTGCCAGTTCTCCAGTTCTTACCAGATTTCGATCAGATCGCCAGACCCAGGTTGGCAGCGCAGCCAGAGCGGCCGCCGCGGAGCAACCTGCGGGTCGGCGCTACGAAGGTCGGAGCATGTCGGAGAGGGCTGGGCCAGGGGCCACTGGACAGATTTGTTGGTTTTTTGTTAGGCAGTTCCAAGTCGAAGCAGAAACCAGTTTACTTGCTTCTTGGTGCTTCCACAAGTTTGGAACCATTGAAATGGAACCAACCTGTTTTTGTAGGAAGGCATTGGTCTTCGGACGCTCTTCGATTGATTGTTTGGGACGTGCGAAACTCCGACAGGCCTCCAAGCCCGTCCAATCGTACGTGTCCTGCGGCGTGCAAACGGCTGAGTTGAACCGCCCAGCAGGCTTCATGGGGTTCTGCTGTGTTCGAAGCGGCCCGGGTTCACCATGAATCAGCTGTGTTTTTTTGTCTGCAGCTGATTGATCAATTGGTGACTTGATAGATCACTACTGTACTCGTATATCAAATGTGAAGGGCTTTTCGGGCAAACCTTTCATTTTGGTGTTGCATGTGAAGGGTGCTGTACGCTGGTGTTTCAGACTGCATTTGCCGTTGAAGGTGGGTGAAGAGCCACGAATTGGTCGAGTCGAGTGATGCTCGCCAGAGCTAGCAAAGATAGCCAGGAGGGTTCCCTTTAGTGACAGCCAGGGCTGCTGTTTGGCACTCAAAACGCACACATGGTCTCGACGGAGTGACTAAGTAAGGTCCTGCTTCGGTGTTGATCCTCGATCTTGCCTGACTTGTCGGCCTAATGGCTTGCATAGACTAGACCCTCAAGTGGGAGGGTGTGTCAATCTATCGCCAAAATGTCTTTTACTGGGGATTAAGGGAACGGAAGAACCAAGTATTCGGCAAACTGCTGCAGTCCCCGATTGGCCTCTTGAACTATTGGATCTATTGGATGATGGGATTTCTTTCGTCTCATGATGATTCATCTTCCAACATCTTCCAACAAGTTATCGGAGTAATTCAGAACGACTTCAACAAACCGATATATATTTTACATATTTTTACAGCAACAAGGACGCTATTAGGTGGAGGCCATCGCAAGTAGGTTGGAGGCTACTAGTAACAAGAAGCTACTAGGGGCTCCTGGCCTTACTGCTACGAGCAAGGACGCTACGAACGGGGCTCCTGGCATCGCTACTGGTAACAAGAAGCTAGTTATTTCCCCGCCAGTCCTCATCCTCTCCGGCCCCGCCAGTCCGCCGACGCCCTCGGGCACGCCCCGTGCGCCCGTCTTCGGCGGGGGCGGCACGCGACCGCCCGGAAGCTCAGTCGGTCGAGGTGCGGAGGATTTTGGAGAGCCTCCAAGTTGATGGAGCCATTTGTTGGGCGATGGAATTGAGGTTCCTTTTTGGGGCGTTTTCAAAGCAACTGCAAAAGCCTTGGCACCACAGGTCAACATTTGAACCACGTCCATTTTGAGGGATCAAGATGCCAACAGTTCTGAGGAGGGTACTACCTGGAAAGCAAGATCCATTGCCATTTTGCATTGTTTTGCTCTTTTCCGACCCATCTCACTAGGCGGCGGCATCGGCTTCATTGGCTTTTGCCCGGAGGATGTGGTCGACCGTTTCGGGCGAGAGGGGAGTCAGGGCAGCCCAGTGCAAAATGGGGAGATCAGAGCGACTGCCCTCCCGCAGACCACAACGTTTGGTGGACATGATGGAACCTGGAGCGACTGCCCTCCTGCGGTCGATCAGAAAGTGAGGCCTGCTGACGGTTACATGGAGTTCTTTGGTGTTGTTCCATTCATTGTGTGGACTGAACCTCACTTTTCGGAAGCAAGACAATCTTGGATCATCAGGGATCTGGAAACGACTCCCCGCACTGAGGCAAGACAATCACCTTGCCACCCTTGCCGCTGGGAAGCTCATCAGGATCCACCTGAAGAGCGGACAAAGAGGGACTGCAAGCTGGACTTCCTTTGTTTGGATGTATCCATTGTTTAAAGAGGGGGATGCAGTGATGCAGATTTGTTTGGCAGCTATATGCACACCACGAGACATGTTTGAACCAGCAGCTTGCAGCCATTCAGCATGTCTCCGAGGGCTCGTGTGGGCAGCGTGCCGGACTTTCGCTTGAAGGTCGGGCCAACGGCCGGGGCGATGGAAGTTCTCCCTGACACTTTGTCCACTCAGTTCCAGAGATTTCTGAATGGCGATTCTGCTGCAAGATGAATATTTGGCATATTTGGCAAGCTTTTGTGGAACGCACCGTCGATGGTCAGCTCAACTTCTTTGATGAGGGGTTTTGACAATTTAAAGACGCCCTTGACCGGGGGACTTCGAGCTCAACTCTGGGCTGTGTAGACTTACAAAAAGTGCATCGCACCACCTGAGGTATAATAAACCAACAGTTTGTTCTTTTTGCAAGGGAGACGACTGGTGCTCGCGCACCAAGTAAAGGGTTGTTTCGGAGGCCTTTGCCGCACACTCGCAGTGGACTTTCTCCGCCCGCAGGGTGCGCAAGGGGCATCGTTGGTGGCCCCAGTGCGGGTCTGACCATCCGCTCGGGATTTGCACGAGAGAGCGTGGCGAAGTGGTTCTTCACTTCGTTCTTTTTCTGGCTCTTTGAAGCATACCAAGGCCAGACGAAGAGGTAGAGCAGGACAAGGCCACGTCAGACTTGCCAACGGAGTGTTCCTTTCCGCACTGAGGTTGCTTTTTCACTGTCATTGGTTTGTGTCCCCCCTTGTCTGGCGTAGAGTGTGTGAGAAGGTTTGACTAGACCCCATGTGCAGCTCCAAGATTTTGTGCCATTTTTATCAATTTTTAATGTTTTTCCTCTTGAGCCGATGAACAAACTGGGATGTCTTCATTTGGGTGGTCCATCCTCCAGGCCGATGGCAGGCCAGACTCGTCCGGCCCTTCCCCGGCTACAGCCACACCAGGCGCGAAATGGGATTGGGTGTTTTGGACGCCTGTGAAACGCAAGAACGGTCAATGTTAGTTGCGGCAACAGAAAGGGCTTGCAAAACTGAGAAAGAGCCAGGAATACCTAGGGTTTGTAGCGGGGTAAACTGGGTTGATCGCAGGGTTGATGGTGGCGAGTCAAGCTTGTTCTTGGTTGCATATAGATAGAATTTTGTACAGGACCTTCTGGTTGGGGCTGGCACATGTTGGCACACAACAGTGCCGTGTTATGCCGTGTTCATATACGTACTTCCAGGATTTGTGGATGATTATATACTGTAAAGGTATTTAATGTTTTGCACAGAGTTTGAATACCTCAGCGTTGTCCATATGGCCACTGTTGTTCGGTCCTCCAACTGGACCCGCTGGCGACTCGGTGTCCTTTGACTGCTCTCATGTGGAATGGAGGAAGGTCCATTTGTTGGCTGCTCACTCTCTATTCTGCTGCGGCTGCGGCTGTGTCTTCTCACATTTTCCCGCGTCTCGTTGCATGCAGGTGCTTTACTAGTAGTAACAAGAGGCTAGTAGTAACAAGTGCCACGCTAGTAGTAACAGGTGCCTTACTACTAGTAACAAAAAGCCATTAGAATTAAACTAAAATTAGATTAAGTTTAAATTAATAGCTTCTTGTTACTACTAGTAAGGCACTTGTTACTAGAAGCGATGCACTTGTTACTAGTAGCTTCCTTTGTACTGGAACGCTCCAAACCTGTTGGAGCGGACTCAGGCAAAGACAAGCACAAGCCGAGCGAAAGCCTCCAGAGCCTCCAGACCCCAGTGCCGTCCGGTGGGGCCCTGAGCACTTATGAAGATGAAAGACCAGGGCCTGTGAGCCTGTACGACTTGTACTTGATCTTTTGGCGGGACCCAGCCAGGTACGACTCCGTATGAAAAACAAGTCTCGCACTGTGCACAGTTTGTGCTATAGAGCTAGGTCTATATAATATTATACATAAGAGCAACAAGTGTATTTGTTTGACATGTGTGTTGCTTTCAAGAGCTTCTTGATCTGAAAGGGAATTCCACATGTTCTCGTGACATGGGATATTTTCTACGTGCAAGAGGTCAATAACACTTTGCAGAGATGTTGCGATGACAGCCTGGTGAATCCTCTTAGCTGCTTGCCAAGCTCTTCTAGTGTCAGCTGAGCTTTGCTGTTGCCTTCGACTTAATTGAAGTTTGCTTGTTTGTTTGTTTGTTTGTTTGTTTGTTTGCTTGTCTGTCTGTCTGTCTGTCTGTCTGTCTGTCTGTCTGTCTGTCTGTCTCCTTTGAGTGCTCGTTCTCATACATACACGTGTTTGGTTCTTTGATTGAAGAAACACGGGTGCCACCTCTCAGGTGCTTCTGCTGCCTGGTTGTGTGCCACGACGGCGGGACCGGCGTGGGGGGTCGGAAGTGTACCACGAAGGTGCCGAACCGAAGGAGATCGAAGCCGTTTGGAGGCCAGTATGGGCATGGAGGCCAGTATGCAGGCCAGTAAGGCCAGTATGCCGCTTGATGGCCACCTGCTTATGATCGAAATGAGGTGTGAAGGGTGGAGGACAACTGTAAAGTCTTTGGATCATTTCAATTTCATTGAGTCGTGAAATGATGCCCTGGAGCAGTGTGCCCTTCAAATTGCTCTCCCCAAAGCCAGTGTTGAGACTTGGTACCCTTGTCATCATTTGTCATTTGTCAGGTGTTTCTGGGTCATCCTCAACCCTTAGGCCCTAGTCCCAGTATGTCCCAGTCAATTCAGGGCTTCGCCGCTGTGATACTGACCTGCACTCCAGCAACGTTCTGATTCTAATCTTTGTTCCATCAAGAACCGGGTGTGTTGGGCCAAGTTTCAGATGAAAACGCTACAACCTATGGCAATGTCCATGGTCTGAGGGCTCTGCAGACCCTGTGAGTTTCTTTCACTCCACTGCAGCGTCCGTGCTCTCAAGGCCTCAAAGTTCATTCACCTGTTCCCACGATGGTTCTGCAGCATCGCTGCGAGACCGGTGATGGATGGTGCTCGGGCATTCCCACGCCGAGGGCCTTTCATCCCTTGGATCACCTTCCAATGAACAAACCATGCCAGCTTCACGTGCCGGACGATTTGTCCTTGCCCGTGAAAACCGTATGGCCACCAACCCTGGCTGACAAGATCCATGAAGTCCATGAAGGGGATGATCCAGAGGAGGATGACCCAAAGCCAACAATGGGTGCTCTCAAGCGACGTGCACGGAGGCCGCGCATACTTCGACAGTTGATTTGATAAGTAGGCAGTGTACTCTTAGCAGACTGTAGACAATGGAAATGGAAGGACATGGAATAGATCGGTCCAAGATAGGGTCATTCAGAATCATTAACGTTTCTCTACTAATTCCATGACCACTTCATCAGTCATCATCAGCCTATGTAACGAGCATTTCTGGCTGAATGAGCTCTGCGAATGGGAGAATATACTGTGTATATATATATATAGATGGCTAGGGTGCAGCATTCATCATGTCTTATGCCAGGAAAGACCAGCCACTGAATGAAGGTGGACATATTGTGGACATACAAACGGTTTAAGCAATTGTAGTTGGATGGGACATGCGACTGCAGAGCAGACAGGATACCTTGCACTGTTTTCCACAATGCTTCTAACAACGGCTTTGCACTCATACAGATTGAGGCCTATGGGCACAAACAGATGAGTCATGTCAGGACCCTTTTGGTTGGGAATAACATCAGGTGTCGGTGTCAAAGCAATACACTTTCTGCTCCGCTGTGCATCCCATAGCATGAAGTCAAACCAGAGAATTCGCTGAATTTAAGCATATAAATATAAGCAGGTGGAGGAAAAGGAGCTATATAAATAGGATTTTCTTCGGGCGCATGGCAAGATTTGAGCGGACTCAGTGCATTTGAAGCTTTTGAAAACCGAGCATCAGTCACCCAATCCCGACATCCCGTTTTCGCAGGCGACAAGAGGAGGAAGACCTCAAGGAGTTCCTCCTCAAGCGTGGATTTGCCAGCATCAACGCACCCCAGAATCGCACCTCGAGCCGCCGAGTCGGCACTTGGAGCACGTGCTTCTTTGGAGAGCGGGAGGAGCTGTATCCCATCCACGCTGCGGCGCTTGAAGGAGACAGAGACAGTTCCCATCCCAGTTCTTGGCGTGTTCAAGACACATCAGTTTCTGCAACGGGTCTGTTGTGGAGAGTTTTGTGGGCTTCAAAGTGGCAGGCGGTGACATGTTCGAGGTAGCTAGCAGGGCAGATTTCATCTTTGTCAAGGAACTTGTTTAAAAGCTGATACACCAGATATATATAGACGGATTCTTTCTGTCTCATGCCTTCGGCGGCAGAGAACGCAAGAGTCTCTCAAAACGGCCACAGCATAGCTCTGCAGCAAAGTTGTTGGCATAGTATGAGGAGGGCCCAAACCCCGCGGGCCCCTGGCTGCGAGGAGATTTGAGGATGGTCACCTTGCTGCTGCAAGCTGGCGTAGATCGTGAGCAGGAAACCTCCAAAGGGCGGACGGCTTTAGACATCGCAAAGAGGTCTGTGCGATGTGTCACTTGGTCACACAGCCGTCGTGCGCTGTCCTGTTGTATATGTGGGTTCCCTTGCCACCTAGCATATCTCATATTATGTTTTATAAATATATACATATATGTCATAGATCAGCAACAAACCTCCGCTGTGGACATGTAATGTGCTCCTGAGTTCTTGTGGGAGGAACACCCATGTGAAGCATTGAGAACAAGGGTATCGACATCTGAGGGATTTGTTCAACAATTCCACCACATGGGAACCAAAGGGGACAAGGGTTGGGCAACATCCCGGCAACATTTGTCACTGCTTCCCGATTCAACGTGCCTTCACGACAGCATGGCCCTTTGTTTCACTTTCCTTTGATTCCATGAGTGACATCAACAAATTGATTGATGACTTGTTGGATCTATATATATATATATTATATATACACTGTTTATACTAAAAACTCAATTTTATATAAGTTTTTTTCCACACCAATTGAGGTCTGAAAGCGAAATCAGGGACAGCAGCTGTGGGATGTTTCTCCACATTGACCCTGTCTTGTGAAGGACACGAACGGATGGCTTCCTGATAAATTCCGTGCCCGGTTGCATTGTGTGTCACTAGGGTGTCAATGCCTCAAACCCCATTCTTAATCCAATTGCAGGGTTGCTGGCGGTTTCTCATTGAAAATCGCATTCAAGTCCTGACCGCTGTCGTGTGGTGCCTTGGGGTGGGTCCATCCAGGGTGGCTCGCACAAGGACAGCCCGATGAAGGTGGAGTTGATGCAAATCTTGCAGGGCGCAGGAATCAAGACTCTTGGATCATCCACAGCCACAGCAAGCAGTGGAAACAGCAAGCGTAAACATTTTCTTAGGGGGTGTCTTCAAAGAAAGCCGGGGCGAAGGATTTGCGACATATATAGATATAATGGTATGGTGTGGCTTTGTCACACAATGGATGTTGACCTAGCTATAATTTGTTGAACCCTACAACCTGCAAGCAGGGACTTTCGACCAAGTGCCGTGACAAGCTGGTACGAAGGGCAACATGCAAGCAGCTCCCTAGAATTAGGCCGCCAACCAAGGGGGGACCCTTCTCACGAGTGCTCGAGCAAGGCCACGAGGCCTGGTTGCTTGAAGGTGAAGTCTAGGAACCGAATGAATAGTGCAGGGGGGAGCTTCCTTGAAGAAGCGTGAGCTATCCTGATTATCCTGCGTCCTGTCGGTAGTAGCATCCTACTCAAATAGCTACTATAGCAACCTCTTCTAGCGGCCTACCCCCCCAAGCTTCAAAAAAGGGGGTGGAGGACCCAGGGACAACACTGCTGTGGGAAGATCCCGAAAGCTCAGAATAGACGTGGTATGCTGTGGTTGAACTCGTGCCGGTCCGGATTGGTCGTGCTTCAGGACAGCGTCAGCGTGGTCTGTTCGGGACCTGTGCAGCCGCGTGCCCAATCCTGAACCTTGTTTGCGGCAAACGAAGCGCCGCGAGACAGCTTAAAGATGCATTAGCGCACCATGATGCAGTGAGCAAACGCCCCATGTAGATTTCGAGCTTGCGGCGGACGAGCCTCATGTAGGTGAAGTGTTCAGGTTTTACGGATGCCTTACTAACTTTTTTGTTTGACTCTACAAAGGATATCGCATGTCCGTCAATGGGCATTGATGGGGTGCATGAGAAAATGAGAGCCATCATGTTTTACGTCGTGATTGGATTTGGCAAGATGATCCAATTGGGCAATCATCGCAACATGTTGCCCACTGGGAAGCAGACTGCAAAGTAGGGGCACCTTAGACAATCAAAAAAAGCGCCGCAGCCGTGACGTTTTCAGGCGTGCAAAAGATGTATAGATGTTGGACTTTGCTGGTTCATTTTTGATCCGGACGGTGGCTAACTTAGCAATACTCTTTGGCAGTCTTCTCTCTACCTTTAGCTTGGCTATTTCCCATGAACCTTGTGGAAATAGGCCATTAAGTTTTCTCTCCCTGTGCTGTTCTTGAGCGAAGGGAGGCTTCAAAATGCAGATACCTGCAATTTGAAGAGATCTTCACCCTCCGCAACCGGTATGTTTTTCAGCTTTCAAGTTGCTCAGAATTTTCTCGGTTCATGTAGAAATCTCATGAATGAGATATTTTGAGAGCTCAGTGGTAAACGCGCCTTGTGGAAATTCGTTTCACATTGGTTGTGGAGCCCGTGGCACCTTTTTTTAACCTCTCCCTGTGCTGTTCTTGAGGCAAGGGAGCCCTCAAGCTGCTCGACTGCTTGAGCGATGTTTTGCGATCCTGCAAAGGGGATGCACACCTTTGCCCTCCACAATCCATTCTTTCTTATCAATATTTGTTGGTTTACCTGTAAGTAACGTCAAAATTGTCCTAGAACAATCAGAAGGGCGCCACTAGTTGTGGAGCGCACGGCAGTACTCTCTACCTTTGCAGTTAGCTTGGCTATTTCCTGTGAGAGATGTGGAAATAGGCCACTGAGCTTTGTCTCCCTGTTCGTGAAGCAAGGGAGCCCTCAAGCTGCTCGACCACTCGATTGATATTTTGCGATCCTGCAAAGCGGATGCACACCTTCGCCCTCCACAATCCGTTCTCTCTTAACATTAGTCAAACTTGTTCTAGAAAAATATACAGCGCAACAATTGTGGAGCGCAGGGCAGTATTCTCTACATTTCTCTACATCTCTCTACCTTTGCAGTTAGCTTGGCCTTTTCCCATGAGACTTGTGAAAATAGGCTGAGTTTTCTCTCCCTTCAGCCTTCTCAAGCCAGAGCAACCCGTGCTTCAATGCTTCTCGATGCTTCTTAGAATTCTCATGAGCAGGATATGTTCAGAGGTTACGGGGTATGCTAAAAGGGCTTTGCGGAGACATGTTTCACATTGATTGTGGAGCGCATGGCCGCATGGCAGTTTCTTTACCAATACAGTGCCATAAGCTTGCCAATTTTCCGAGAGTGCGTACAAAAAGGGAACGAGCAGAGTATCTTGAGAGGTCATTGGGTATGCTCCGAGCTCCGAAAAAAAATAAGAATATATAGTGAATGTTTCGCATGGCAGCTTTCTTTACATTTGCAATTAGTTTGCCTATCTTCTGCGAGATCTGCAAGGTTTATACACCTCGACCCTCCACATGCCGCTCCTTTCTAGGTTTGCCAAACAGATACTATATGTTGCGGATAAGTTAGTCAAGCTAGTCCTGGAAAGATAACTAAACAGATGCATTGGTACTGATCGCAAAAGCGTCACACTGTCACCTTTGCAGCCAGGGTGCGTGTGGTGCACATGTTCAGAGCTTCACTCATCATTGTATCTAACTGCGAATTCTTTCAACTGTTTTTGGCCCACACGTTTAGTGTTTTGCTCCTAGAAATCTGGTAGAGGAATCTCTCGTTGAATTTGCGGCCCCTAGCAATGTAGGTCGGTTCAGGAGAACGGAAGTCACTGGATTCAGGAGTTTCATGCTCCTTTGGGGCTTGGATATGATCAAAGCGTGTGTGGCATTGTAGCTCCCAAGCAAATTACCAACGCTATGGTGAAAACAATATTGCAGAAAAAACGATGTATGTTCCTGCGAAGGCCGAATTTCCATGTCTATGAAATGTTCCCCAAAGTAGATGCATGTGAAATTTTCATGCCCACCTCATGGTTTGTCCCTTTGCTCTGGGTTGCATAGTCAGGGATAGTCCCTAGGCCGATGGTTCTAGATTCTGCCGGCCTCCAAGACAGCAAGTGTCTAAGTCTGTGCGGCTCATGTTGTTGTTGCTTTGCTGTTGCCGCTTTTGGGGTTGTTCTTCCCCATTTGCGACCTGTAGCACCTTCTCACCTAGCGAAATGGCGTCATGTTTTTCTGCTTCTACAGCACGCTGACTGTTCATGTCACGGCTGAGCAGGTGGCGCAATTTTTTGTTTTTGCCATAATGGTGAATCAACTTGGGGGAAAGGCATGGAAAGGCACCATATTGGTTTTTGTTCGGTATTGAGATACGCATGTGCACACTAAATGCATCAATATTGCATTACGATTAATTCCCTTTGTCTCAGCAGACTCTTGCTTCGTTTGCAAGCAAGTGAAACTTACAATGTCAGAGTATGTGGAATGTCCAGTCGAAGGTGAGTATCATGATACACCACTGGACCTTCCACTGGCTGATGGTTTTGGCACCGACCGTGTCAGGCCCTCACCGAGCAGGAACGGCTCCACATGGCTGATGCCGTGAAGGTGCCCACCTCCTTCGCTCTCGGTCTCCGAACAGATCTGCCAAGGGGTGCTGTCGGAAAAGGTCCTAGTAGCCTCCTTTGCTACTAAGTTTAATTCTATTTATTGTTTCTAATAGCTTCTTGTTACTACTAGTAAGGCCCTTTGCTAGCAGGTTTTCCACCATATTACAGGTGAGATGTCATACTCGCGTCGCGACGGTCGTTTGACACCGCACCAGTTGTTTTGAGACACCGCACAGGGCACCTATCGACCCTTTAGGTCGGAGACGCCTTCAGGTAGAGACATACTCGATTGAATTGGACTCGACTCTACTCTATCATATTGCATTGTAGGCATTATAGTTAATGAAATACGTGATTTTTTCGACCCTCTAGAATTCGTACATTTTTTCCTTGACATTCTGCGCTGTTAAGGGGGGTCCAACTTATATTCAACAATGCCTGCAATGGGCCATTGTTTTTTTCCCCTATTATCTACTTTTTTTTTCATCCACTGCATTGTATCGCATTGTCCTATAATATACTAGTTTATCTACTATATCGTATTCGACTGAATTGAACTCTACTCTATCACGTTGTACCGCTTTGTATAAATTTATATATCATATTTACTCTATGTTCCGACCCGCTTAAATTTTAAGGGGGTCCCGGTCCACTTGCATTCAACGCACCAGCGTGCTGTTATCTAATCCATTGAATTGAGTTCTATTTCATTACAGTATATTGTATCGTATTGCCCCCTTGAAATTGTACATCTTTAAGGGGTCCAATCTATATCCAACATCCTGCAAATTTTTATTTCCTGCAATTCCATGCAATTCCCTATATATATATACACCTATTTATTTCATGCAGATGGGGCAGTTTTGTATAACTATTTTCCACTTATTTATTGTGTTAATGATCCCCCGTTCTGTACTTGCATCATTTGTATCACCAGATCCATGAAAGGCAACCGCACGACTCCTGTCAACAGTGTGGGTAATTTCTCACTGCAAGCGTACCACTTCATGTCCAAAACCCTGAGCAAATGTTGCAAAACATGGTTTGTTCCCTGTGTTTTGCATCCTTTTTTCTTCCACCACCACTTACCCAGATATGCGTCACGATGCCGGACATCAATTCCCGCCAAACAGTCACTCCCACCTCTTCTTCTTCATCCTGACTTCGAAGAAGACACCAAACCAACAGAAAAATTTGAGGAAAGACCACCCAGATCCGACAACTTCGTGAAAGTGCACGATTGCCTCCCCCAAATATGTCTAGACAGATGCAACCAGCATCTATCTATTCTCAGCTCTTACACGCAGCCCAATCGTTTTTCACCACGACCTTGGAGGCTTACCAGCTCTTCCTTTTGCACGACCCCCGGGCCAAAGATCTCTGGCCAGAGCAACTGACCACGCTGCGGCAGGCACCTTTACCGGTCCGTTTGTCCGTTTGGTTTTGAGGTTCCACTCTGAAGAACACATCACACGGAAGGAGATGGCATGGGCCCCTGGAAGACTACTTTTCTCCACAAACAGGTTATCCACTTCCATGTTGGTGGAGGGAGAGCATCTAGCTTGTTTGTTCGTTTGTTTGGCAACCTGACCAAAACACGGTTGGGTGCCAAATTCAAGAGAGAGCACCTGAGCAATGTGCACGTCCTTCCGAGATAGACTTAACACGAACAGCTTGAAAAACACATGGCTTGAACTAGCCACAGAGTTCAATGGTGAGCTTCGAAGCGAGCGGGGTTGGTGGGGAGCAAAGCGCTTCAGTTCGATGCAGGGAGGCCTCCGGCTCGAACATGAGAGCGTGGATGAGAAGAAGTCTTGTTGTTTGTATAGAACATGTGAGTGAAACGATTCCCAAGGAAGCTTCTAGTTCCTAGAAAGCTCTATTGTTACTAGTAGCGATGGCCTCCAACCTAATAGCGACGGCCTCCACCTAGTAGCTTCTAGTTACTAGAAAGCTTTCTATGTGTGGTTCTACGCCGTATGTTTTTGGTCTGGTCTACGGAATGCACAAAATCACTGAGTCACTGCCCATTATGAAAGAATATGAAAGACATACTGGGACGGGTTCCGGACTTTAGCTTCAGCTGAGTCGTGCGCATACAGTGCTGGGTTGGAGTGTGGTATTCGCACCTGACACATTGAACGTACCTCCTACCGATCCTGCCTCCACGCCATGGAGTTCACCTGCAGCAATTGCGGTTTCTCCAGCTTTTCAAAGCTGATCTATCAGGAGAAATCGAGAGAGAGGCGCCAGAACCCACAAAACCCACAGAACTGGCGAACCATTGAAGTTTGCCTCCCTGGCGCAAAAAAAGGCGAGAGATTGAGGTGCTGTTCTTTTTCTGCCTTTTTCTAAAAGGCTATCCGCTGTCGTAACACTGCTGTCGCAGCCATCCCAGATGGGAAAGCTCTTTGTCGCCCGTGACCTGGAAGAGTTGTAGAATCCGACGGGGAAGGAATGGCCTCCGCTCAATCGGGGTCTCCATGACTTTTCGGTGAACAGGAAACAGGACCAAAGGAATCCAGCTCGGATACCTTTTTTATCATTTTTTTGGATCGAAGGTGAGCAGTGAGCAGGCGAACGAAACGGTGTTTTTTTCCACAAAACTTGTTTGAACCCCTGACTGTCAAAGAGAATATGATGCGCCATCGACAAAACGATGAGCTCCGGACGGCCGCGTGATCATTTTGTTTGCGTTACCTTGAAAAATAGATTATACCCGCCGGTATACGTATGACAATGTTTGGAACGGTTAAGGTTAAAACGAAGCCTGCTTATTGTTCAAAAAAAGGATCCTGCAAGTATACTTGCGAGGCAGCAGACCTGGAGTATGCGGAACCATACCAGTGGACTGGACCACCAGATTCACTGGATTGCTGAGGGCCAACGTACCGGATGACATTTCTTGAGACTCGAGACCACTTTTGTCAATGAGTGCAAACCAGAATGCTACTAGTATAGTATATATTAATATAGTGTATATATATACTATAGTTTATACCCTTCCCAAATACTATATGGTGAAGAGTTCAACAACTGGGTGTTCCACAGGAGCATAGCTGCCAAGGGGACTCCTCAAGATGGAAGTGCCCTGGCAGAGGGGAAACTGGATATCTGGCAGAACACCAGCTGAAGCGTTTCAGTAAGACGATGTGATCGGGTGGGTTCAAGCTGTCCTAAATCTTTGACCAATCACCTTATGAAGAAGGGGGTTTCAAGGACTTTCAAGGTAGATGTGGAAGACAATGGAATGCAGGAATGCATGTTTGATTGTTCAGGAATGATGTTCGAGAGAAGCTTCAGCATCTCCGACCAGCTAGCAGAGTATGGCAAGGGAACTCTTTATACCTTCTACACTACCTTCTACACTTTTTTTTGTCGTGTTTTACCTTTGTCTACAGCTGATATGCCTGTGAACCACAAAGGGACCTCTTCCGGGATTCCCACCGGCCATCGGCGGAATTTGGCCGAGTTTTGCGGTTGAACCAGGTTGAACCCGGCGCCGGGGCCGTGGTTTTTGGTCAAATTCGGGTTGCTGCCAGGGTAAAATTCTGGAGAAAGGGTTGTGACGATCCTCAGTGATGAAATGATTCATCCTTCAAAGGCAGCACGCATGGAGAGACACAATTCCCACTGCGATGGAGTGTTTCAATCAAAACCCGTTTTTCAAGACGGAGAACAGATGAATCGGTTTCTTTCAGCGACAGCCACTGAGTTTCCAGAGTGGAATTCGGCTCCGGACCCCCTGTTCCCGACCGTGCTCCATCACCCGGAGTGGCCATGTGACGCCGGCCACTTTGTCAACCATACGAACCCGCTGAGACTCTCGAAAGAGAACAACAACTTATGAGACTCTCGAAACCGCTGAGGTCTTACCAAGTGGAAGTGAGAGAGGAGATTGTGGCCACTCGGTGTCCCACGTCGCTTTGCATGTGGCGCATGTGGACACTTTAAAGTTGGTTCTCTACGCATAGGGCCGGTATGGTCTAGTAGCTATGACGCATCCCTCATGTGTCTGTGACGGGCCACTTGCCCACCCCTGCAGTTAAGGGGATGAGTGGACCGGGTGTGGCCCGTTATAACATCTTAAAACACAACACAATAAGTGGGTCCCCCTCCAAGTTCATGAGACAGTATCAGGATGGCAAGAAAACACTTTTTGGTCGACAGAATGCAAGCTATGGGGTCTTGTGTGTCTACAAGCTTTTAGCTGAGCTCAGGCAACATAACCTCGACGGGTGAGGTCCATGAGCGTGAGAATGACCGTTCAGTGCCTTCAAGGTGTTGACAGGACGACCTGATAGTTACATCGGTGTGGGTCATAACCTCAGCCTACAAACCATAGAAGGTTGACATCCCTTCCAATTAGAGGAGTCTGTTCATTGTCAGGTGTCAACCACAGCCACTCTCACCTCCAAGCCTGTCATTCTTCGCTTGCCGGCACTGATTTTTGTTGGAAGAGGTGGGTGATGTTTGGACGGGGAGGATTTGGATTCCATGGTTCAGCGTCATGCGTCTCAAGTGCTGTACTGTCCTCCAAGGACCCCCATCCGGTGGCAATTGCCACTCCAGTGGAATCGACGGAGGCGCGGCATCGTGGCAAAACTCGCGGGCAGTGAACTGGGGCGCGGAGGTTCAGCGGTTTGACCATTGGAGGTTCCAGTAAGGTAGACCGTTGATCAATAGAACCCACCACACCATAAAATGGGGGGTTGTATTTTGATCAAGAGTCTACACTACTCGATCAGATGATGTGAAAGAAGATGAGGATTCCAGGAAGTCCACAACCAGCGTTTAGTTGATAGGTGAGCGATTGAGCCCTGCTCACACGGGGCGCATTTGGCCACCTGTCTCATTTGGACCAGAAGTTGCACGCTTTGGGGAGTTTCATTAGAACATGTGTAACATGTGGGTTTGCCATTAAGCCGGGAAGGACCTCAAGGCGATTTACATCGATTCAGAGGCCATTTGTTGTGGCTGTGGCAACAGGTCTTGATTTGCCACAATTCCTTCCAGGCTGATGCTCTGAATTGGGGAATCATGCAAATCCACTAAGGCGACCGTGACACTGATTAGGTAGTCACGGTAGTCTTTACTTATCTTTAGGACAGTTGGACTGTGGACGTAGCAAGTACAAGGCCACGAACCCGTCGTCCAAGGTCACGATCGGTTTTTGAGCGCCAACATTTGCGCAAGTGCCGCAAGCGCCAGGACGTAGGCTTGCCAGGGATGGTGGCGGATGAGGATGACTGCAGCTTGGCTGGAGAAGTTGCGGTCGAATCACCCAACTTCCATTAGCTCTCCTACCATGTCTTACCCAATGCTCTAAATGTTTCGGCGGAAGGTGCTTTGAATCCGGGGAATACATCCACGTTGCATCACGTTGCTATGGCTTCCATCATGCTCCAATCGTCCAGTGCAAGATGTTCCACCTTTTTTCACCCACTGTACCTTCTTGTTACTACTAGTAAGGCACCTGTTGCTACTAGCGTGGCACTTGTTACTAGTAGCTTCCTAGAGTGATCGGTTTCCGTCATGCCAATCCATTCCATGCGTCCGTCAGCCACCCTCTCGATCCTTCCCTGCGTGTGGCTTGAATCGCTGTGCTGAGATCGGGATCCCCAAAGCGCGCCGTTCCGTTGCATTTGCGGCTTTAGTGCTTTCTCGCAGATGCTCTATGAGGTGCGGAAACGGTTAAACGGGTAAAGAGGAACCGGTTCGGGTTACAAATTGGTTGGAAGACGAAGAGGAGGAGCGGCTGGAGGGACTTTCAGACATTCCTCTACAAGTTAGGATTATTATAATGGTTGATTAATTATCTATTTTTCTGGGTGTCCATCATTCGTTAAGCGTTGCTTGTTTGGCCCGGAACTTAGCGGAGAAAGGATCATTCTGGAAGCGAAGTTGATCAGCACGACTTGCTGGTTTGTTCATCATAATTATAATGGATGACACACACTGACGAAGACATCACGACATTAGTGGATGGCATGGGGCGCTGGAAGACAAACATTAGGGGGCTTGTTACCGAGGCGGAGTGTATCTGTATCTTTAGTTGTGTTTTCAAACTCCTGTGGCACATGTATTGGCTTACTCCACCTGAGCTTTTGTTCTAGCGGACCAAGCAGATGTTGCAAACGTGTAGTCGGCGTAGGCTACAGCTGGAGAAGGTTTTCGTAGGGGCTGATCATGAGTCTTAGGGGCAAGACAGACAAGGGGATGATTAGATACAATTAGCGTATGCCAACCAGCGATCGCTTTACTTGCTAAGAGACTGACGTTTGCCATACCCTGCACCAATCAGTGACCCGTACGTGCCAGGACCACGAGTGCAAGTTTGCCACCTGTTTGACCGTGTGTTGGCACAGCGGCCACAGCCCACAAAACCCCTCTTTGTTCAGGGCTGTAGCG